AGCCGTGTTCAATTGTGTTGTAAGTGTCTTGGCCCTAGTCATGCCAGGTGTTGTTCCCCCTGGAGCTCGCAGCAGCAGGCGTGCTGCGGATGCTGCTGATGCTTCACCGCAGCCGTTGCAGGAAGCTGATGAGAGTGGCAGTGAGGGATCTGCTGGAAGTGGTCGGCGGGATGCTGATGATGAATCTGCTCAAGACCCAGAGTTACCATCATTGTTTTCTCAGGAGGAGCCTGAGGAGGAAGTGGAACAAGCACCTTACATCGATTCAAAGGATGGTGTTCAGACTTTGTTTAGCCCGGCTGACCAGAAGTTCCTGATCCTACCCAAGCAGTACACATGGGTTTGCAACAAGGTTGATTCGAAGTGGATGCTCGAATGCAAGGACGGCAAGCACCCTTCAAGGACTGTGACCTATGCCATGACCTCCTCAAGGGCAAAGAAATATTCACCGACTGCGCAAAAGCCAAACGACGCGAAGCAGACTGTGGCGGTTGAGAAGGGGAATGGCGGTGGCGGTGGAGATGGTGATGAGGAGAAGGAGGAGGAGAAGGAGGAGAAGAAGGAGGAGAAAAAGGAGGAGAAAAAGGACGAGAAGAAGGAGGAGAAGAAGGAGGAGAAGCATCAGAAGGTGGAGCCCGAACCGCAGGAGTTGAAGAAGAAGAAGAATGATGAGGCCGAGCCGGAGAAGAAGGATGAGCCCATGACGACAAAGGAGCCCAATACTGAGCCTCCTGCTGATGCTGAGATGGTGAATCAGAATGTGGTGGGGGAGCTTCCTAAGGGACTGCCGCCTAAGGACGAGGAAAAGAATAAGAAGGAAGTGAGTGACAGTGGAAGCAATACGACTAGGACAACGGCGGCACCATCAAGTTTGTCAAGCGCTGCCTCCAGTGCTCGTCAACCACCACCACCAGCTCCGCCAAAGGCAAAAAAGAATTCATCAAAGAAGGGTGTTGCTGCTGAGGTGGAGGTCTTGGATGAGTCGTGAGAGCTGTAGATTAGTACGATTCATTCACTATCTGGGGCGGCTGGGCATGGCAGGTCAAACATTGTTGCATTCATACTATTTAAAGTACACATCACACAAACACACACAACTTAGTGAGATGAGAGCTGTGACCTGGTGGGTTGACATGTCTGTTGAATGACCTGGTTTGAACAAAAATATTCTATTTTAACCTTATTTTGTCTATGTAAAAATAAGCATTTTTGACCTTATTTTGGCCTTATTTTTTACAGCAAGGTATTCTGCTTATTTTGGCCTTATTTTGACCGTATTTTGGCCTTATTTTTGCGTTATTTTTAGCCATATTTAGACCTTATTTTGACCTTATTTTTTAATGTTTTTTTTGGTTCATAATCACCCAATGTTGACCTCATGTTCACATAGAATATCAACTTATTTTAACAGCTTTTCTTCACAGCGCAACTGTGATTTGTTTTGAAGTCGCGCCACCTGACACTCCCCCCTCCCAAAAAAAAACATAGTTTATATGTATTTGTAAATCAAAAAACTAACTATATTCAGATGACGTTGGACTGCAGTGTATTTTCACGATATAACGACTTTGTTTACTGGTGATGTGACATACTGTAGCAGGCAAATTAAAGAATGTGTGTTCAATTTTTTTCAACTGGCATTTTGAGACTCAGCCAGGGGTGGAAAAAACACGTCTATACTTAGGTTTAGACTACATTATTCAGTAATTTGTATGTTAATAGAAAAGCAATTATCCTTAAAAAACACACAATAGAATTATTTTCTGACAAACAACTGGCTGACGACTGAACACAATACAGAACAACAAGGACATGTCCATCAACAATGTTACTAGTGCAGAAGTGATTGCGGGTAAAAGTGTTGCGGCAACGACATCACTGGAATCGAATTGCTTGCCTACCCAGCCAGCCTGGTCTTGCTGGCAAGCTGACCTGACGCGCATTAAGTTCAAGCCTGGCCTGTCTGAGTGGTTGTTTGCTTTCTTGTTTCACTGCGTTGCAGCTGCAAACTGAGCCTCGAAAGTTGCTACTCAGTGACTTCCGTTGAATGGTTGAACTACAAAAAACAACCTGTCAGGGTGTTCATGAATCTGACCTGAACATGTCATGTTGTAGTAGAAGTGTAGTCGTCACACATATCATAATTCCATTTGCAGGAGTTGATGGGATGACATGATGGCTCGGATCCGGTGGTTTGGGTTGCCCCCGGAGTCATGAAGCAGCCACGCACAATCCTTCATTGAACAACCCTCCATTTTCCAGGCATTTCTTGGCCATTGAATCATGGCCGACCCTGTCCGGAACGCGTCTTTGATTTGATCGAACGAGTTTGGTGAGGCAAGGTTTAGATCAATCTTGGGTTAGTCAACTTTTTTTTGTTTACTATCCGCCGTAAAAATCATCAGATATGATCATGTAGAGTCAGGCTTTCCGGAAAAAGAAACTTAATATTGTGATGCCAAACGCCAAACTCTGGGATATGTGGCCAGCTAGCGCTATGTGTTCCACAATCTTCCGTTTGTGACGGCTGACGGTGACGTCCACTCATCGGCTATGACAATGTTTTAATAATGTTATATTCAACTTATTATTGTGTCATTCTATGTTTGCGATCAGGTCACTCACATAGGTCGTTGCTGCTTGAATCGGTGCCGCAGTCATGAGGATAAGCACTCCACCGGTCACAAGCGTCCTTAGCAGCAAAGTTGCGTGAGACAGAAAAAAAAGAGACGAGAAACCCAGCAAACCTTATCAAGTGTATGTTTTTTTCTATCCAAATTTCATCAGTCTGAATTGGCAAGACTTGGGACCTGTGAACTGTGGGACTTCAGTCAGGGACTCTCCGGACCAAAACACAGGCTGATTCATTGAACATTGATGTGGATTGCAGTCAGTGTACAGTAGAGCCTGTTAAGTTCAATCCTAACAAAATATCTGCCTGCCTGCCTGACTGCTGTCATGTCATGAGGTCCTGGATTTCAATTTCATAACGATCGCAGAAGCCATTTTGGTGACCAACAGTCAGCGAATCGAATAATCGTGTTCTGTCAGTGGCCCTAGTGATTTGCGGTGCACCATGTCGTCCATTGGGTCCTGGTCTCCACCTTCATCAATTTCGTTCCCTTCGCCGGACTCTGACGATGTCTTGATGTGCCCGAGAACCCGATGGCAAACTCGCCCAGGTCAGGCCATGTCACCGTCACCATCTGCCACAGCAGCAGCACCAAGCCCTCCGATGATGATGAGCCCGGTGGCTTCTGATCCTGAACCTCAACGTGATGAGCTGCGGCGCTTGGGAAATTTGACTGCAGAGGCCATTGATGATGCAATGAAAGAACCGGAATCGGTGGAACCCCAAACCCGTCAACCTGAAAATGGTCCTCTCTTTCAACCTTGTGGCACTCATGGTGGTGGTGGCGGCAACCCCGACAATGCCTTGACTCAGCCTGACCCTGGCATCGTCATTCCTACATCCGAAAGCCCGGCTCAGGCGACCTATGCTTACGCTGTCAATGTCAATGTGAACATGTCAGGAATGACCCAAACTATCCAGTCTCAGTCAGGCAATGGTCATCCTGATCAGGGATCGGAAGACGAGGGTCCATTGCAGCAACCCCTTGGCATTTACTTTCCCATGACATTCAAAATGTACCGGCCACGTCGAGTCCAACCGCGTGCACCACCACGTCGTCCTGACAACAAGAACCAGCGTGTCATCACAGAACACTTCCAGAAGAAGAAGCCTGTGGCAACTCCCACACGGAACACCCAGGCCAAAAAGAACATCGCGATTCCTGACTTTTTCCGGAGCAATTCCCTGTCGACGCAACCGGCAACATCGTCATCGGCGTCGGAAATGTTTCAGCCCTGAGTCTGAGTCCGGATCGCTTTTCAATGAATATGGCAAAATGCCAGGGAGGCAAATTGGGGTGTGTTGCCTCGGCGTTAGCCTTGTTTCAACTGGGCATCCGAACCAGACATGTAGTAGATCTGTAGTTAGAGAGACTGCCCGTCATCACAGCCAGTGACAAAGAGTCTCCTTGGCGGTGACGCGGCGAGCCAATCGTCAACAGACTTGGCAGACATAAAAAATAACGTCTGATTTCAGATGATCTCACAATTCATTATTATAGTTGATGGGATAATACCGTGTGAGGATTGTTTATTAAATAGCGGTATTGATCTTGACTAATGACAAAAGCTAGTTGTGACTGACAGTCAGTGACAGTGACAGTGACTGTGACCAATTCAGATCACCAAACAGAGTCACTCAGAACTCAGACTCTTTGGTTTCAGTTCACCAATTTTTTAATGCCAGAAGTCAGTGACTCCGATAATGTCCAAGGCACTGTCCAAGTCCATCGTTGAGAAGCTCAACGGAGAAGACATCTTTCGGCACAGTCCTTGGCTGAAGTTCTGAAGTGACAACATCAGATAGGGTATAGAACATATTTTTTCACACACTGCAGATGCTCTGCAAGTACAAAATATATGAAATAGGTCAGGTACATGCCACCAAAATGACATGAGCATTAATATATGTTCTTTACATAATCTTGAGAAGATTTGAGAAGGATACGATTGCACCATGACTCTGCACGATTGGTATCCTTGAAACGGAAAACAAAAACGGACGAAGCGTGTCCATGTCATGTCCATCAACAGGCCTAAGCTATCCGCATCAGACTCTACAGGATTCATGGCCCGGCCCTTGGTTTTTCAAATGACACGGCCTGTATGTATTCTGGCGCCTCTAGACTTGATCTAGTGGTAGTAAATAAATATTGTCCATCCAACAATATGCATGTTTATTTATTTGTCTGAGAGTCAGTCAGCAGGACAGAACAGTTCGATCCAGTTCAATGAATGGCAACCACAGTCAATCCTTAGTCATCAAACACTGGCATCCCAAGTCGTTTCAGTCAATCGTGGATTCGAACTGACGGATGACACGTAATGTTAATATTGTCATTGTAACATTGTACTGTATATTGATTATTATGCTTGACTTAGTAGTGGGTGAATGGTCATCAATCAATCATTCACGGCAGGCGGTCATCAAGCTCTTGCACCACCACCTAGAACTGCTTGCTCAGAAGGGACTGGACAAGTTTATTCCAGGTTGGCGGAGACAGAACGATCCAGTGTGTGATCCGGACTCACGTGCTCCTTTGCTGCGATTTGTGGCGGATGAGGAGGGTTTGCAGAACCGTGCGCTGCATTTTCTGTTCAGCTTTGCCGGTCTGAGAGGAGCCATTACTCCCGAAATCTGTCATCCAAAGTGGAACTGCTGGAAGCGGTCCAAAAAACATGCTGGTCTTGAATACGATATTTTACGCTTGATGATAGCTGCCAACTACTCTCACGGTACAAAGTTGACTGGCGAGCGACAGTCCAAGATGCGTGGGTACTTGAAGAGTTTTTTGGCGAAGCAGAGTGATGAATACTTTCAAGACTTGGCTGATGAAATTATGACGGATCGGCGACGGGAATCCAGCGGGCTGACTGCAGCAGACGCCCGGGATCTTGTAGAGGAATACCTGGACTGCCCCTCCATTCGGCGCAAAGGAGAGTTTGAGCCTTGACACTCATCAACGTACCGTAGTATAGTCAATATATACTAATTATTCTACTATTGAAACATATTTTGTTTCCCCTTTATGATATGTATATATATATATTATATATTTTTTTCTCTCTCAATAAACGGACGAGTCGATAGTCCAAACCTTCTTAGAAGGTCCTTAGCCTTTTGTGTCTCACTCTTAGTAACTCAGAAAGTAGAGCCCCTATTGGAATCTAGTCTGGGCCTGGGGTATCGAATTGGGAGTTGATGCTGACTGGCTTACTGGTAATCGTTGACGGAATCAACTTGAATTGCAGAGCCTGGCCTCGCCTAAGGGAGGTAACGTAGCTAGCCGCCGCTTGCCTACTCGGACTCTGATTGCTAATTTATTATTAGAAATGAACCAGCGTCAAGTCAAGTGTCAGTGGTTTAGTAGAGAAAAATCATCATCATGTTCGCTCCTTTTATAAGTTTGCCTATGTTTGACCCACTCCCAATCAGGTTAAGAACAAATCCTGGTTTGGCATCCTGAACGTCTTGGCATTGATGGTTAAAGACTGGTCAATTCTGCGGGAAGCCTCCCATGCCATTCTCCAAGAGTCTGCAGGCAGTGTCGCTTGACAGTCAAGTCGCCCGCACGCCGACAACCATCGCGTCGAGGTACCACTTACCACAACAACCAATCCGAATAGATTGATTAGCAAAGGCCGTCCCATGTTTAAAAGTGTTGTGTGTGTGTTTCAATCATACTAATAGACAAATAGAAACAAAAATATATAGAATCAACAATTATGTAATATGACATGATTCCTGGCAGTGAGCAATCCACACTAACCAAAAGCAGGGTTTGTCCGTGACGCTGGCTTTGAAAGAACCTCCTTACCTTGTGAGTTGTTTCACAGAAACCTGTGACATCCTGCGACTGTGTTACTACTAAACTAACTACAGTACAGCATTTTTGATGAATGTTTGCACCGTCCACAAGTCTTGATTGAATTGAAGACACCTCGCCGTTACTGCTCCGGAGCCAAGGTTGATGCCGAGGCCGGTGACGATGACGGCGGCGGTGATGACAATGCTGATGATGAACACGATTCCGACAACGCTGAGGCTGAGGTGGGTCCAGCTGGTCGTGATCAGCCCTTCAAAAAGAATGAGCTCTACAAAGCCTACAAGAACAAAGGTCCGCACAAAATGTTTTGCGACATTATGTCAACAGACAACCTTCGGGCAGTTGCATGTATGATTGTTGCAGTGACGCGCCCCCTGCACAAACAGTATGTGTCAGACCTGAAAGCTCAGCAGGACTTAGACACTATTCTCCAGTGGAACGTTCCTAAGCACCACTTACTGACTTGTTTGTCATGTTCGTTTCTGTCTGTTAAAACACAGGTTGATGAGATGTATTTTTTTGAACCGTTACCAAACACCTTTGAATTTTACACCGGTCCTCTCAAAATAAAATGATCTTGTATATTTTAAAATTGGCCCAACGGTTAACGTTACGTTGCGAGTGTGTTTTCCACAATGCAGCTGAGGCTGATCGGTCTTTGGGAAGTTCTATGGGGACTGTGATTGCTATCGCGCACAAGCAGTCGAGCTTGGACCTTTGTATAGAAATGAGGGTGGCAATGCGCTGCCGTCCTCCTGTTGATATCACCGACGTGCAGGAAGACGTTTTGCTGACAGAGAAGGCTTCCAAATTTGCGATGGAACTAGCTGGCAGTTTTGCGTGGAGTGAGCAGTTCTGTCAAATGACATTTCCTTTGGCCGCGGCCGCACTTCTTTCTGATGACGTCCAGAAAAGAACACGAGGTATGACGCATCTCAAGAAATTGGTAATGGCCATCAACAAAGCGGAGGCTTTGTTAGCAACCAGGCCCGATCTGCAGGGCTTGTTGGATACACTGGCGTTTCAAGAGGAAACTCTGGCAAGGGAGCTCATGGTGCACCTTGAGAGGGGTGGGTTCCAGCTGAATCATGAAGAGACCCAAAAATGTCAGCAAGTGATGAGAGAGTTTTGCTCTGGCACTTCCTCAACAAAGGAGATATTGGAATCCACGTTTGGCCACCTTTCATATGTTTCCAATGCTTCCAACAAGAACAAGCGGATGTCGACCATGGGGACATGGTTTTATGCGGCACCCAGCCCGTACGTGGATAGTTCTGGCATGACTCAGTGCTTGCCGACTGAGCGAGATTGGCTGAAAGCCTGCTCTGACTACGGAGTGGCAAGCAAAGAGTCAGCAGCACTTTTTTGGAAAGCATTTCGCTCAGAGGCGACCAAGCTTCCCCGAGCAGAAGGAGTCAACATACCGGTCACGGCAAAAGGTGTGCAAAAAACACAGTGGCGATTGTCTGGCCCAGCCTCTCACTACAACAGAAGTGCAGCGGCAGCGTACTTGCTTTTTGATGCCCCTACTGGATTTGTGAATTGCAGTTTCGCATGGGCAGGCAGGGTATGGCATCAATGTTTTGTTGTTGTTGCTGTTGTTGTTGAACTTTGCTCAATTTTAATTTAAGTTAAGATTGTTTTAATTTGCGCCAATTCATAGTGATAGTGCAAGTTTACCACCAGCATTTAAATTTACAATGCCATTTCATCGCAGACTGATGTGGTTATTTATTAACATTACTTTTCTTCAGATTGGAATGACCACTCTTACAGTGACATTTGCAATCCTCAGGAGTTTTCCTGATGCGTGGTGAAATCTTCCTGGAGCCTGAATCTGACGAGTTTTACCTCAGCCTAGGCTTCCAAGGTTGGGCTGCGCTGGGAATCAAATTGGATGTGCATTTGATTGGAGACAAGGACTCTTAGCTTGGCACTATTATAACAATAAACAATTAAACTACTTGAGATATGAATGATTAATTATGTTTTAATTTATGCTTTTGAAAGACTGACTAGACGACTAAGACTAGACAAAGCTCCGAAGCAATTATTATTAGCTAAGGAGTATCTCACCATCAGCAACGCTGAAATGGGAGAATGTCATTTCCTACACAATTTCACATTTGATGAGGGCAGCGCTTGTTGGAAATTTGTCCAGCATCGTGTACTCCCTCCTGCATGCCTGCCAGAAGACATTCCAGCAGATGTTGGTACCGCTTTCGAGGTGATCAAGAGAGATGAATGGATTCTGAGAGGGGGCCTTCGAGCTGGTATATCACTCACTCTACCAACACTGCATCAAATCATGGCAGCAATCAAGTGCCCAAAGCCAACAAAAGGCACTGGAAAAAATGGCCGTGTGAAGAAAGTTGACATAGTCACTGCTTTGGTTCAGTACTTGTGGCCAGACGCTGGTGAAGACTTTGTCAAGGACACTGTTGGCAAAGTCATGGGTTATGCTACCAGCACTGAAGACATTGACCTGTCAGTGTTGTGTATGGTTTCAGAGTTGGACACTGACAATCAGGAATCTTTTCAGAGACTCAAAACACAAGCCGCGCGACGGATAGATCGGTCACTCTATGGCAAGGGACGGGAAGCTGGAATCCGTGCTGCAAAAAAAGAGCTTGGGACTGACAAGGCGGCTGCGTGTAAAGTTGATGAAGCAGCAGCGGAGAAGGGCAAAAAATTGGTGGAAAACAACCTTGAGAAGGAGAAGAAAGAAAATATCAGACAGTGGAACCTCACACCTCCAGAGCTGAAACTACTTCTACCTGGAAATGGGGATGTCATCGGTCGATTCTGGATGCGGTGGCATCCAAAAAACCACTGGTGGCGGGTTACATACCCTACAAAGAGTATCCTGACTGCATTCTGCCCTGCCCTACCCTGAACAACAAACAGATGTGATAAAGTATTTACGAAACTATACGTATAATTAGATACCTGTTTTTTTTTTCTGAGGGCCGGCTGTCATTCTAGTCTAGGGTCCAGACTGGGTCCTTGATTAATTCCTCGACTTGAGCTGACAGGCGAAGATTCGGGGAAACAGAGCTGTCAAAGATCCTTTCCAACAGCTCAATGCCCAACCGCGTTGTCCGCTATTCAGACAGTACTTCAGTTTGCCTATGATCGCTGGAATGCCGAGAACCCCGACAATCAATATGAGATGTACCTTAGTTGTCGTTTATGTTGTATTGTTTTTGTATGTTTATGTTTGTTTTTATGAAAAGACGTGCCCAAGACTGTATTAAACCGAGTGGACATTTAAATTCCTCATTCTGTGCTTAAATAATATGTTGTTCAGCTGTCAATTTTTCATTTTGCATTCACTTTGAAGTGTCTGATTCGATGGATATCCGCCTTGTCTTGACTCAGGCCTCCTGAACAAGAACTACGAGACCACATTGCAACCCTGGGCATTGAAGAAACGTGATCTGAGCCCTGGAAGTTTGCAGCCTTCACCGCTACAGTAACACCTGTTTTGAAAAACAAGACAGGTGGACGCACGATTAAGAATAAAAAACAATCCAGTGAACCATTTAACTGTTTGTTTTCTGTTATGTTTTTCGCAACACAAGATCGTTGTGAGATAACAATTAATAGTTCAACGGCTGAAAGGAAAATCCTGCACGTTACATGTCATGAGACAGACTCACCGACCGTTTGATTTGTTTTAGTACACCAGCACACAAACAACAATTTGCGTGTCTGTCTGACAACCGAGACAGATTCAGAATCAGAATAATTCAGTCTCTGACGGAGATTCTGGCGGACAAGTGGAAGGTGTCTGTCTGAAAATCAGACGGACCGCAAAGAAAAACACAGACAGAGAACAGTAACGAGAGTGAGAAAGGACCTGTGACACTGTGGCGCTCAGCAATGTCTTAGTCGTTTGAATCATGAGACATAGAACAACACCAATGTGGTATGTTGAATTTTGGTTCCTGTGCGCGCTCCTTTTCATGTCTGTCAGTCACGCGCGATGGCAATGTTCCTGAGGGGTCTTCGTGGCGTAATTCAATTAGATTAGCTTATTACGGCCTTATTTGTAACATTGAAAAATAAGTGTGGATTAAGTACTCTGGAAGGCTTGGGGGGGGTTGGGCTGGAGGGGGTTGGGCCCTTCATGATTTCAGGGCAGCCACCAGCTGCTGAACTGCTGGTGGGTGGCACAGGTCGCCCTGCAAGCTTTCCATCCGCATCAGGCAATGAGACACGATCCCCCTCCTCATGGTCATCCCCCTTTCCATCCACATCAGGCAATGAGACACGATCCTCCTCCTCATGGTCATCTGCCTTTCCATCAACTGAGCCTGAGCCAGCATTTGCCTTTGGTTTCGGCATTGTTTTGCAAGCAGTTTTTACCTTTGGCTTCACGGTCACACGGACAGGGGCCACAGGGCGGTTCCCAAAAGCAAGATCTTCTGGCCCCAATAATGGGGCAGGCAGCACTGCCAGTCGATGCAGTGCAGGTTGCGATAGACATGAAATGTCAGGCGCCACCCATCCTGCCTGGTCAGGCGACATATTGTTCTCTCAACAAAGGATTTCAATTAACTTTGCGCCTCACTCAGTAGCCAAGGTTTCTCCCCAACCACCTGTGCCGCTTTCATGAACTCTCGCCTCTGTCTTTCAGACAATTGCCGGCGGCCTGTGCCACAAAGGTTTTCAAAAGCAGGAAGCCATTCAAGGGCACTGGCCGGAGTGAACATCAAAGGCGATTGTGCAGGGTCATCACTGGCCATGTATTGCCAAACCTGGAGGATGATATCTCCATCCATTGGAGGATACCCAGGGAGCTCATCAATATGACATGCAGGAACATCCTCTTTGAGAGTCTTCTAATGTTCTTGCTGTGACAGCTTGGTTGCTTAATAAGTACAAGCAGACTGTATATGCAAATTAAAGCAGCTACAATAGCTCCGGGACAGGGATAGAATATAAAAGTGTGTCACCTTTGAAAGATGAATGGAGCTCAACTCAAAGACCAAAGCTATCTCTGTTGTTGTGGGTTGTTTCAGTGCACTTCTGCAGCGCACATTGCCAGGGCACGTTCTGCAGCACCCATGGTGTTTGGTGTGTTATTGCTTATTGACCATTACAGTTCCATGCAAAAGAACAATACTATTCACACATGCACATAAGCTTTCACCATGCAAGGTGCTCCTGAAATGGTTCCCTGCCTTTGCGGCCAGACCACGTGCCTCAGCTGCAAAAAGACTGTGGGGTTGAACACAGAATGGACATATGGCACTTCTCAGCACCAAAAAGAGCACTTGTGCAGCACTCTAAACAGTTCATGGCAACAAGCTAGCAAGTACCAGCAAACGCACAGCGAGGCATTTTTCTCATTGCGGCTTTTGTCGTTTCAGGTTCTGCCGGTCCTGTGCATCTTCCGGATACTCAGGCTCATCATCCACCCCCCTGTTTGGCTTCCTTCTCTTGCCTTTTTTCTTATTTTCTTCCTTTTCTGTCTCATCCGCTTTGGCCATCAGGGTCTTGATTTTCTCCTCATACTCGTTTTTCGTCTTCTGCTGCTGCTGCTGCTGGTGTTCATGTTGTGCCCGCTGCAACTGGTGCTGATGTTGCTTCGCCAGCCAATGTCAGATTTTGCCGAGTCCCGCTGGCTCCAAGCTTCCTGCAGCAAGGCCACCTTGTTCTCCATATCCTTGCACAGCTCGGCATACAGCAGCTCCTGGCCTTGCAACTTCTGCCGAAGCTCCCGGATGTGCTGGAGCAATCTCTCTTGCTCCGCAACCTTCTGATCCAGCTGTCCTGCACAGGGAGCATGGAATACTGACGGTTACAGCTGAACCTTACTATTAACACAGTTTTGAAGCACTTTGCAGCACATTAAAAACTGACTGCACTTTGCAGCGCAGTGGTCCTTGGAAACCCGCTTGATCCTGAAGCCGCTGGTCAATTGCCGCCTTCAAAGCGCTCTGGCTGAAAGCAAGCTGCGCTTCCAGGGCTGTAACCCTTTGGGTCAGGGCTGCCACCTGGCCAAAAGCTCTCTCTTGGCTCCTGACCAAATGCCGCCACTCCTGGCACGCATTATACCTGTGCCCACGGCCGCGGCAGGCCCTGGTGGTCCCAGCGTCATCATTGCCATCGCCAGGCTCGCTGGGCGGAGGGGCCTGCCCATCGGCAGCTGCGCCGGTGGTGGCGGAGCTGCCGCAGCTTGAGCTTGGCCCGGTCTTGACGGCGGCCTTGATGGCGGTGGCGTTGCCGGATGCGCCGGTCGAATCCCCGGAGCTGGCGGCGGGTGTTTTGGCTCTGCCGGCTTTTGCTTTTCTGTCTGAGGACAATTCTTTGGCTCTGCCGGCTTTTGCTTCACATCCGGCTCTGCCGGCTTTTGCTTTGCGGTCTGAGTCTGAGAATCCTTTGGTTCTGCCGGCTTTGCAATCTGAGAATCTTTTGGCCGGACCGGGTAATTATTGGCTTTGGCACGGCCGGCATTTGCTTTGACCCTGTCCCTGTTTGCTTTGGCTGGACAGGCATTGGCTTTGGAAGCAATGGTTGGGCTCCAGGTCCCAAAGAGACTGGTGGACCAGTCGGCTCTGGCAGGGATTTCCCAGTCATGGCTGCTCGGTCGCCACTCTGCTGTATATAATGGTTTTTAAATTTGATTTGATAGGTGTTTCCTTGCTCTGATAGTTTATTTGATAGTTGTTTTCTTGAAAACCTATGATGAACATCTCATTCTGTTTTCCTTCTCTTGCTTTAGTTCTCTCTCTATTTTGCTGTTCTTGCTTGTGGCTTTTCTTGAGCAACTTGCAATGAACAGTCTTTCATACAGCCAGCTGTGCAATAAACCATTAACTTTTGCAGCGCCCATTGTATATTATAGCAGCCATAGCGTGTTTGCTTGTGCAATTTCTCTATAGTTGCAAATTACAGCATGAAACTGCATGGTAAAATGCTTGTGACACTGACATGTTGGCTGATGACCTCTCATGGCACTCTCGTCACTTGGCTGAGGTGCTGGCCTTCCACAGCCTGTGAGGCAGGCCATAGGCGGGACCTGGCAGCAGAAATGGTCACAAGTCTAAGTGAGTGACATGTATTTCTATCAAAGTGGTCACATTCACATAGCACTTGCAGCACTAATTGTGGCACTTGTGCAGCACCAGCCTGAACCTTTGGTCCCAATTCAATAACACAGCTTATATAACATGTTTCCTTGATCTTTCCCAGAAATGGGTGCTGCAGAATGAAGTGCCATGGGACAATGTGTGTGCTGCAGAAGTGCACCTGCATAATACGACAGCATGACAACTCTGAACCAAGTCTGAGCTAAAGCAGCGCGTGCAATTTTAACTTCCCTGCGTGATGAATGCCAAAATTTCGAGGACCACAGCTTGGTGATCATTTGGCAAAAAGCTGCTTGTCACAGCCCGCTGCAATCTCACGCCGACCATACCAATTCCATCCCATTCAAGTGTGGCACCAATGTGGAAGCAATGCTCCATGAGAGATTGCGCATGTTGGTACAAAGACAGCACTTGAAACCATTGCAAGTCTCTGGTCTCTTGAGTGACTTCAATTTCAATGGCCCTTGCTCGGGCTGCATTTGCATCGTGCCGTGGGTTCAGGTCTGGCGGCGCATTGATTGAAGTCAAGCCTGATTGCTCCACACCTTTGTCCACCACAGCTTTGGCCAAAATCTCAAGAGCTTCCAAATCAGCTTTCAGAAGTCCCAGAGAGGGGGCGGCAGGCAAGATAATCTCCTCCAAATGCTGAATCTCCTTAATGGCCTTTTCAGACACCAGCCGCAACTCTGCTGCCAAAGATATGTGGTGTCTTTCGTTCTCATAAGATGCCAACTTTCGCTGGAAAAGGACAGCAGGAAGAAGCGGCACATGGTCAGAAGACGACATGGTCAAAGATCCCCCGCCCATCGCAAACAGTGGGCCAAAGCTTTGAGCAAAAACTTTTTGTTCACACACTCAATTATATGCTGCCAGCACGCAGTGGATCACTGCATATCGCTTGGCACGTTAACCAAAAGTGTCACTTGCAAAAACATACAATAGCCAGATCCAAGTCTTTGAGTGCACCTTCTCCAGCAGATAATCCATTAAGACTGCAGCCTCAACCAAGGCTAGATTGGCAGTCCAGATTGAAAACTGGGCAACTGAAGAAGAAACAAACCTTCTTGTCAAATTGCTTTAAAAGGTGGTGCTGCACACTGTGTTCAACTAGCTTGTTTTTTCAGAGCTATCATGTTTTCAGAGCCAGTTCAAGACAGTCTTTTGCGTTGAGACATCTGTCTTGGGACCCCGTGAGATAACTGGTGCAGCCAAGGCTCACTGGCATTGGGCTGCTGCAGCTGCTGCAGGAGACAGGTGGTATGGATATTTTAGATATATAAGTGGCATGGATATCACATGCGCACACTTGTGAGAAACAACATGTATAGTTACATCGCACTCATTCAGCACGGTTTGGCACTTCACAGCAATGGCAATTA